AGGGAATACAATGGCTTATTGGCCTTAGGTGGAGTGGTTTTAAGCTAGTATCCCTTGTGGTGAGTTGTAGATAAGGATCATGGTGTTCTGGAAAGGAGAAGTGTCAACTTGAGGGTAATTCGAAAGGAACTCGGAGAAATAGGACATCTTGGTAGTAAGTTCGATCAGCACAGTAATGGATATAATCGGTTCGTTGGGTACTTGTGATGTGGTGAGTCTCTACATGTGTTTTATGGCAATACTCCTAAATTTGGCGATTTGCGTGACTTGGTTGAGTTAGAGAGATTCAGTTCTGATAGCTTGGTTATGTGCAAATGTGTTTCGAAGATTTCTCGATGGTTTCTACCATGGTTTGAGGTGGATATTTCCTACCGATGTGAGAAGCACATTTCGTATTGTGTTTTTCTACTGGATGAGATCAAATAAAAGGTTCCTGGCTAATTGACCATGTAGTTTCTTGTGACTCAGGGTTGATAATGAGGTTCTCGTATTTTCATATGATGGCATGATAGATGCGGTGTGTTGTGTGGGATTAAGATTTGTATGTGCAAGGTCACAGTTCAGTTTTGAAGGGAAGGTCATGAAATCTTAGACAACATGAACGATTTCCGATGTTTCGATGAATGCTATAACTACTTGGTAATGCTTGAGAAGGGTGCGCATTTCAGCAAGTGCATTGTGTTTTGACTTACAGATGTTTCATTGGTATTGTGGTACTCGCCTGGTTGATGACTGCTAATGTTTAGATTTTGCTATATGGCACAAAAGAATTATAAAAGTATTCCTCGTGGGATGATTGTGTATGAGAGTTGTGTTAGACATTCGGGCAGTAAAGTTGGGATCAAATATGGTGATTCGTGTGTTCTATGAATTTGGAGATTGGAATTCTTAAAAGCAGATTGTTTCGTGGTTGTAGACTGTGAAGATGTGGCCAAAGTTATCCAGATGGTGGTACATGTTATAGTTAAAACCTTGTGGATTGTTGGAGGGCTATTTATCAATTAGGGGATGACCAGAGTTGATTTAGGACCCGTTAGTAGGCCCAAGTGGGATGTGCAATCTACATCTGGTCGGATTTGTTGACTCAGAACTATTAGTGTTGAGGAGTGAGTCATTCGGTTAGAGTTAAGCTTGTTCGCGTTCTTATATGTTCTATGTGTTACTCTCCTATGACGAGGGGTTGGGATTTGTTGGTTATATGCACACATGGTATGGTTCTATTTGGGTCTTATAGCGGAATTTGAGCGAAATGGTTATTGGGTTGTGGAATGGTTGATTGTGCCTTGGTTATGGCCTTTTCCAGTTGTGGTATATTGTGTTGCTTGCTTCTTCATGGTTATGCCCATGAACTTTGTGTACTTGACATCGAATTGTTCGTGGTTGTTGATTTTGAGCATTGTGGCTTGAGGTATTTCATATGGACCGATATTTGGATAGTGTCACACATTACAGCAAAGTTATGTTGGGATATGATCCTTTGTGTTAGATTCGTATATCTTGGTTCTACTATGTAAGATGGGCTCAAAGCATTACGGTGTGGTGGTACTTGTCGAGCTTCCGGGACGGTTTTCTCATTTGAGTTATTTTTCATTTTTGGGTGCATTGATTTATTGCGTATTAGTGCACGGATTGCACGGTTTGTGGCTCTAGGTTGTATTGATATTACATGTCAATAGAATGATTGTGTTTTACGAGATGAGTACTATCGGATTTGATTGCAGTATATATGGAGGAATAATATCAGAAGTCGACTTAGAAATTGGCTTTGGTTCTAATTGGGCGAGAGAGGGCTCCATGACTTGTTGATTTGATAAGTGATTATGAATTTCTGCATATTTCTTTCATAATCGGAAATGTACGAAGGTTTTAGAATAAAGTTTTGTTTGATATGAAGTTTATTACCGGTACCGGGTTTGTTTTTGAGCAGCTACTATGATCAGAACTTTATTGCTACAAGTATACGAGTTGTATGGTATATCATGTGATTATATCTTGGGTTATGATTATGGATTTATACAGCTTATTTAGACTTATATAGTGTGTAGATGCAAGATTCAGGTCTTGTAAGGAATTTTGATGCTGGAAATTGAGTTCTAAGGCTTACGGACTAAGGTTAAAGTAATGACCTTCAGTTAGGATGTGTTGTCAGGCTTACATGGATTGGGGTAACATGAGATCACCCCCGAGTATGTGCATGATAAGGTTGCACAATGATTTGACGGCTTAGGAATAATTCTTAGCATGTTCAAAGACGAATGTATGTTTAAGTGGGGACAATGTAACGACCAAGCCGGTCGTTTTGAGCATTTGCATTTTGTTCAGCTATTTGAAATCTTGAGTAACATCGTGTGATGTTTTATGACTTGTGTGAATCATCTGTTTTGGTTTTTAGGTTATTCAGGATTGATTTGGAAGGATGATTCTCAATTAGGAAGTTTTAAGTTGGAAGGATTGACCAAGTTTGACTTTTTAGTACTTGACCTCGGATCGGGATGGTGATTATGGACTTGGCTCTATGCCCGGATTTGCATTTGGATATTTCTAGAAGGTATCGGCACTATTTAGTGAAAGTTAGAAATTTGAAGATTTGCAATGTTCATAAGTTTTACCGGGAGTTGACTTTGATGATATCGCGTTCATATTATTGTTTTTAGAATTGGAATAACGTCGTTATGTCATTTGGGACTTGTGTGCAAAATTTGAGTTCATTAAGTTCGATTTGAGGTATAATCTGTGGTTTTGATGTTGTTATGCATTATTTAAGGCTTAGAGTAAGTCCGTGTTATGTTATGCTGCTAGTTGGTATGTTCGGACGGGGTCCCAAGGGGCTCGGGTGAGTTTTAGATAGGTTTGGGTTGTGTTGCGCTCATTTTTTATGCTTCGATGTCGTTTCGTCAAGCATAATTGGTACCACATTAAGAAAATGAGCTCCAATTTCTGTTTTGATTGAAACATTATATCCGTATCGTAATTTTGGAACCATAAAAACTGGAATCATCAAGTATCAATATCGTATGAGGAATTTATGGTCATTTTACTAAGAATTGGGTTGCTAAATTGTTTTCAAATTAATTACAAAATTATCACATAATTCATATTTAAAATTTTGCACTATCTTCAAATATTGAAACCAACATATCTTGTCACAATCCGAAATTTTCACCTTCCGGACCGTGATGTCGCCGAACATTTCATTTGCTAGGCAAGCCAACGTTAGAATAAGCTAAATCATTTTTAAACAAATCAAATTAAATGGATGTCAATTACTGAAATAAAGTGCGGAAGACCATAACAATCGAATCGTCCAAGTACAACCCAGAATCTGGTGTCACACGTGCATAAGCTACTAGAATAATACAAATAAAGGTCTGAATAGAATTCAAGCTGTTTGGAAGAAATATAGAGCTAAGATAAAGTAGAAGGGGACTTCGGAAGTACAGATGTCGTGCAGTTATACCTCAACTCTCCTCTAGGTAGCTGAATCCGAGAAAGTCTATGGTACGCCTCTGGGACCAACTCTAAAATCTCCACATGAAGTGCAGAGTGTAGTATGAGTACAACCGACCTCATATACTCCGTAAGTGACGAGCCTAACCCCGACAAAGTATTGACGAGGTTATGACAAGACATATACATGAACAACCTGCACAAGTATATACATATAAGAAGCAATAAATAACATAGTAATTAATAATTTAAAAAATTGGAAGGGAACATATGAATGGTAAAGATGTAATAATTCCAGCAGGAGAAGTGCCACATAACAACCGAATAATTCATCAACAATAAATATAGGTAGCTAAAATATAAAAATGGCACGGCACCACCCTTCATGCTTTTATTCTCATCCTTCCCATGAAATGATAAATAAATAATATGAATGGCACGGCATCCGTTTGTGCTTTAACTCTCTTTCATGCCACAGTATGATGAATAAATAATTTAAATGCCACGACATCACTCTTCGTGCTTTAACTCTCTTCCTCACTTTATAAATCAATAAATTATAATAATGTGAAAATGGCACGACATCACCTTTCGTGCTTCAACACTCTTCCTCAAAATGGCAATGATAATATAAATAATATAAATGGCACGGCATCACCCTTCGTGCTTTTACGCTCTTTCTTACCATGAAAATAATAATATAAATTTGGAAGAGTATTTTAAATGCGGGGAATTATACTTATCAATTAATTTAATACCAGAATACCGACCTCACCTTCCAAAAATATTCAACAATAATTAATTTAGCAATAATTTTATAAATAATGATCAAATGAATAATAATAAACTTAAGCAGGAATATCTAGTTAAATAAGCAATTATTCACAAAGAACAAATTCCACTCGCATGCTTTGATTCAACCACAATGCATAAGTACTCGTCACTTCAAATATATGTTGTACCCGCACATTAAATCACGTAGCAAATAGACAAACTAATCCTATTCCCTCAAGTCAAGGTTAACCACGACACTTACCTTGCTTCGCAACCAAATTCAAGATTCTAATGAACCTTTGCCCATGACACTTACCGCGCTTCGCAGCCAAATTCAAGATTCCAATAAACCTTTGCCGCGCGAATTTTGTACGAATGCCTCGAATCTAGGCACAATCAATTCGATACAGTCAACACAAATTATAGAAATCAACTCCATATGAAAATACTAAATTTTCCAATTAAAATCCGAAATTCGACTAAACAATCGACAGTGGGGCCCACGTCTCGACACCCGACAAAAGTTATGAAATATGAACGCCCATTGAACCACGAGTCTAGCCATACAAATTTTACCACATTCCGACATCAACTCCGCCTCCAAATCCTCAAAATCATATTTTCAAATTCCTAGGCCCAAATTTTCGAATTACATCTAGTCAGAATAATCAATGATGTTTCAATATTATTGACTAACAATGATCACAAGTGACTTACCTTAAAAATCCCCATGAAATCTCGCTCAAAAATCGCCCAACCCATGCTTGAAATGTCTAAAAATGAGAAAAATCTCAGACTCTTTGATTAATACATTACCCAGGGATTTTCACAGCTACGATGCACCTGACCGAATCTGCGGTCTCGTAGATGCGAGGATGGTTGTCGCTTCTGCGGGCTGGCTTACTTCTGTAGCAAGAGTCCGCTTCTGCGGACTTGCTTCTACGAAGAAGTTGTCCGCTTCTGCAACGAGGCCAGGCTTCTCCCTTTCCGCTTATGCGGTCAACAAGCCGCCCAGCTCTTCACCCTGGCCGCTTCTGCGATGGCCCTTGCGCACCTGCGGTGTCGCACCCGCGAACCATACGGAATCCACCTGAGGCCCTCGGGACCTCAACCAAATATACCAACAAGTCATAAAAGCTCATACGAACTTAGTCGGGGCCTCAAATCACATCAACAACGCTAAAAACACGAATCACACCCCAATTCAAGCTTAATGAAAACTAATAAATTTCAATTTCAACATTTGATGCCGAATCATATCAAATCAAGTCTGATTGACCTCAAATTTGCATACAAGTCATAAATGACATAGCAGACCTATTCAAATTTCCTGAATCGACTTTCGACCCCGATATCAAAAAAATAATTTGTGGTCAAACTTTGAAATCTTTAAGCTTTCAAACTTAAAATTTTTAACAATTGGCGATAACCCAAGCTAGGGACTTCCAAATCAACAAGATTGGGAGCCTAAAGCCAAATTTTAGAGAGAGTCCCTAAGTAAGAATATCAATGAAAAATTTTCAATGAAAAAGTATAAAATAAAGGTAGAATAATAAAATCGGCTCAAAAATTTGACAAGTTGATATACAACAACAACATACTCAGTGGAAATCCACAAAGTGGGATCTGAGAAGGTAGAGTGTACGCAGACCTTACCTCTACTTTGAAAGGTTGAGAGGTTATTTTTGAAAGACCCTCAGATCAAGAGAAAGCATGAAAAAAAAGGTCAGATAAGGACAATCAATTCAATGTCACTATGAAAATGAAAATAATGAAAGCGAATAAGTCATGATAAAGTACTCTAAAAAGGAGCAGCAGTTATCACAGATAAATAAGATAATTAAAGTACAAGAAATAATAGATAGTAACAGAAATCAAAGGGCAAGAAACTATAGAGCAAGATAAACTGATATATAAGTTGTCGATTGAGAGACTTTTCAATATTGAGAACAAGACTAGTAAAAGAGAGAATGAAAAAGGTAAATATATAAACAATAATATGGGCCCGTATTAGCTATTAGGATATAAATGAGGCAAAAAAAATAGCTACCCTAACCATGTAATTAGGAAACAATTCATTAAAAATTATTCAATTCTCTAATTATTACAACGATCCTCACATTAAAGTTATTGCACATTCTCTAATTTTTTTTTTTAAATTTAGATGTACACATATTTTTTTAATAATACTTATACAATACATTTTTAAGAAAAAATAGGGCCCCAAAAAGTTGGGGCCCAAGCGATTGCTTTACTAGGCTTATAGCCACCCATGCCATTCCAATGTGCTTGTATCATTACCGGCACCAAGTAGGTCCTGTAACATTTTTAATTCTCTCAAATATGTTGAAACCCAATGAATAATGATACTCCAATCCAAACTCATGATTGGACCATAGATTTTTGCAAGATTTGCTAGCGATATATGAGGTTTTGCACCTAATAAGTGAAGGTTTCCAATAATTGGCCATGGTTTTGGCCATGGTGAAAGTTTAATTTTATGCTGCCTTTTCTGAGTAAATTGTGGCTAGAATATAAAGAAAACTCAAGGCAAAAATTGATCCAAACATAAGTGTATAGTAATCCATTATGCCCCTCTCCCACTCTTTCTTCAACTTTGAAAAATGAAAAGATGCTTTAATTTCCTCTTTTGTCAGTAATAAAGTACAGGTGTCCTAGGTGTGTTTGATTTGGATCGTGCATTTAATAATCAGGAAATTGAAAATGGACAAGTCAATTTTACAATTAAAGGTAAAATGAGAAAATTATAATTTATTTTGTCTTGAACTTCTAAAATGATAAATAAGTTGAGATAATTATTTTTAGAAAATATGACAGATAATATGAAAAGTAGGAAGTAGTTTTCAGAGGCGGATGTAGTGAATAACTAACGGGTTCAACTAAACCAATAACTTTCATCGGGGTAAAAATTTATATGTAAAAATTGATTAAAATTACAAAAATGGTATATATGAATCCATAACTTTAAAAATATAGTAGGTTCAATGCTAAAATCCTAAAAATTGAATCCATAGGATTTAAATTCTGGATCTGCCTCTGATAGTATTAAATAATATATACCCCACCCTTTTGGTAACAAGAAAAATTAATTAAAAACAACTAGGAACTACAGTATTATATAGTTTTATCTTTCTAGGGATAATATTTCCCGTTAAATAATGCCTTGCTCCCACGGGCAGATCTAGAGGAATGAAGTGGGTTCGGATGAAGTCTTTTTTATGGAAGAATCACACTCTATATGTAGTGATTTGACTTGAAAATTCTTGCACAGTTAAGAGAGTTGTAAGATTCATAAAAAGGAAAAAAAAATATCGACTTATACTGAAGTAATCACTAATGATTTGAACTCAATTATAAATTTACATGCCCGAAGATTATAGGGCGCGAATTTGTGAAAGTAACCTCGAGTTACCTAAAAAAGGCAGGAACTTATTAGTAAAGACGGACTAATGTGGTAAAGAGAGGGTCATCGGCACCCGAAAAGTTAGGCAAAATTTGTATATATGTATGTATATATTTTTTAAAAATACTGATATATAGTGGTCGCAAAATGGTTAGAAGAAAATAGTTATTCACCCATATTATTCATTAAAAAATTGGTTGGATAATGAACTTTTTAAATAATGGGTCAAATGTGGATAAAAACCATATTATCCATTTAGAAAATGAATAACCAATAGATAACTAATGAGTTTAACTTTTACATTTGCAAAGCCTTAAATTGGGGGTTCGTCAAGTTTAGGAGATTATGAATTCTCTCAAAAGTGATCATATTCAAGAAATCATGAATAATATAAATATTTATATTATTCGTGGATTAACCCTTTTTATCCGTATTGAATATGAGTCGGATCGAATAATTTATCCATTTTTTTACTACTCATTTTCGACCCGCTTCTATTCGACCTGACCCGCCCGTTTACCACCCCTACTAATATATTAATAGTGACATCCTAGGTCCGCCTATGCTTATTAGTATATATGACTTAATTGCACACCTCTAAGATATGTAAACACTAGTACACTACAATAAATTGGACTAGATATTTGTTTTGATGTGAAATCATTTTTGACACGGAGAAGCAACGCTTACTTTGTCTTTTTAGCTATTTTCATTTCCCAAGTCACAATTGCAATTTGTGAAACTCGTGATTATTTGCAAATTTCCTCGCCTCACTCCAATTTATGGGCCTTGTATGTTTGGGCTTTTAGTTTGACTCCACCCTCTCAAGTTGGAAGAGTCTTTACACAAATAACCAGCTAGATTTTTTGTTTACTTCTCCTAATCGATATATATAAATGGCGTAATGGCTTCTTGGCCACTTAAACTTGTAAGGCTTTTGAAAGTCGATACATAAACTTTGGACTTTCCCATTTGAACACTCAAACTCGTGAAACTCTTAACTAATAAACACATTTGACCCTTGACCCTACGCGCGTGTATTACACATTCACAGATGTGTCCATCCAGTCAGCATATGACCAATGGGAATGTTACACATTAAGGGCGCGAAAACAAATCCCATAGCTGTGCTGGAATAAATTTATTAATTTCTACTTTTTCTTCTGTTTTCGTTATTTTCTTCTTCACCATAGCTGTGTTGGAATAAATTTTCCCACCCAGCCATCATTTTCAATGGTGAAACTTGTGATCTGATCCATTAAAAGTAACACTTCCCAATGTCGAAAAAATCAAAATGGATAAACATCAAGAAGAAAGAAAAAATAATCACGAAAACCCAATGTCAAAATACAAGAAAAATCACTGCAACTTCAAGAAAAATTACTCTTCTCTTCTTCAAAACATTTGCTAGCCTTTTGTAAATTCAGAAACAATGAGTATGATTGGACCCCATGAATGCAATGAAACCTGATGTCCTTTTTGCGCTTTTGTTTTGTTTTTCCGGCGAAAGTTACGCCGAAAATCACATTTGGATCTGATATATTTTGAGCTCGATTGTTGACAGTTTTATTCTCTGTTGAAATTAGAAGAAGCATACACAAGAAAAAAAATGGTGAAAGAAATTTATTTTTGACTTCATTAATATAGTAGAACAGTGGAGAGGATAAAGGGTAAAAGAACAGTAAACAAAAAATTGGACGGGAATAGAGAAAATGATGAAGGAAGAGAGGTAGGTTGAAAGTTTTTTTCTTTTCTTTTTTGGTTTTCCTTATAGTTTCTGTTTATTTTTTTAATTTTACAATCTTTTTAATAAATAGCAACAGATACACGCGCCATTTGATGTGACTTGTACGCACTATGTCCACGTAAGATAAGTTACCTCCACATAAGCATAGTCAATGGTCAAAAGTGTTTATTAGTTATAGGTTTTATAAGTTTGAGTGTTTAAATGGGAAAGAAGAAAGTTTGTGTATCGGTTTTCAAAAGCCGTACAAGTCTAAGTGGTCAGGAAACCATTTCGCCTATATAAATTATATATTGATTAAACATGATTATATATATATATTATCTTATGTCGTCTATTTTTAGTTTAAGCGATTGAATGAATATTTATTTAAGTTAATTCTTCGCGCATTGATTAGTTATGGTTGCACTGATGAAGTCTTACATAGGGCATTAAGTTTGCTTTCAGTCCACCACTCATATACAACTTTCCATTATGGGAGAATGTTGGAAAATTAATTGAAAGTTGTAATAGGAAACCTTAATCGTTTAAGATTTGGTATTTGCTAGTTTATTTAATTTATATCTAAATAAGATTTGTAAGTACATGAATTATATATATATTATACATCTTCTGACTATTTTTAGTTTAAGCGGTTGAATTGACGACTATTTATGTTGATTTTTTTTGGGCAAAAAGGTGTGAAGTGCCTCAATGATGCACTTTTCAAATTAAGAATTATTTTGTATTCTCGTAAAAAATGTGGCATACATAATAAAATTAAGAAGTACTCTTATAATGATGCATCTCGTTGTATCGAGTTTCATAAAAAAGACAAACAATTTTTCTCTCTTCTCGTCTCTTCTCACAGTACGCAAGTCATAGAAAGAGGAAGAAAGTATGCTTGTTAGCAACGTGAACGGTGATTTACTTGTCCATTTTCAGTTTATTAATTAACCCACACACACAAAAAAAAAAAAAATGTATTGTTTGTCAGTTTTACATGAAGTCTCAAGTCCAAATTTCAGTAGAAGCAAAAATGCTAGGTTATTTATTTTCATCTGTTTAAGATTTGGTGGACAGAGTTATTCGATATATGTACTGGTAGAAGTTAACTGGTACCCCGTAAATTTAGTCTAAGTACATGTAAGTTGACCCGAACACCACGATTATATTTTTATAGCTCCATTATTTTACCATAGAGAAAATGGACTAACCAACCAAAGTTACTTGAGCGCCAGGCAGCCAGCTTTGATGCACTTCAAGCACACAACCATTATAAATTTTCTGTAGTTTGGCTTCCTGTTTGTCCTCAATGGCGAACGCTTCCACGAATCTTGAACACCAACCTCCTCTCTGCTAATAGGCTTGATGCAAATCAATGTCTAAGATCTCAAAAGGTGAAAGAATTACTTGCTTATTGTGCAACATGTAGCCAAGAAGGTGAAGTTGTGGATGTAGGTCAAGTAGCTTTCAAGAATTCTCTAAACTTGTTGTCCAACACCCTTTTCTCTAAGGACTTGGCTGACCCCTTTTCGGATTCAAAGGTAGAGCTAAAAACACCTATCTGTAACACCCCGACCCTTCCTTTTGACCTTTTGGAATCCTTATACAAATAGCCGGTCAGATTCACTATTTACTTTTTCTAATCAGTGTATATGGATTATGCACTGATTACACATGATTATACATGGATTATACGTATGTATGTTATACATCTCCGGCTATTTTTAGTTTAAGCGAGTCATGTGGGTGGCTATTTAGGTTCCTGACTTTTTGTGTATAACTAAACAGTGCATTGATATGTTGTCCTATTATCTTGTTGTTGCTATTGTTTGTCTATTGATTCCTTTTCGATGTTCTTGAGCCAAGGGTCTATTGAAAAAATCCTCTCTACCTTTATAAGATAGAGGTAAGGTCTGTTTACACATTACCTTCCTCGGACTCCACTTGTAAAATTTCAATGAGTTTTTGTATTGTTGTTGTTGTTGTTGTTAATGGTGGATTGAATATGCTATTAATTGATATACTATTGATATAATTGTTTGTGTCCCTTTTTGGATACAAAGGTAGAGCTCAAGGAGGTGATTTGGAGCATCACGACTGAGGTTGGGAAGCCTAACCTAGTTGATATTTTCTCCATATTTGAAAAGATTGATCCTCAAGGGATAAGGCGTCGCACTACTATATATTTTGGTAAGTTGTTTAAGCTTTTTAATGAGTTGATCAATGAGCGATGGGAGAAAAAGAGAAGGAGGCGCGATGAAAAGAGTGATGTTTTGGAAGCGCTCCTCGACATCATTGCAGAAAATCCTGAAGAGATTGATCAGAATTACATCAAGTCCATGTTCCTGGTTCGTGCTCTTCTCTATTATCTGGTGGACTACTTTTAATATTAAAGATGCAAACTTTGATCTTACTAAAAAAAAATGTATAAAGTACAAGATAATTTATGATAGTTTCGTTTAATTGCTTAGGTTATAAATCATAGGCGGATCCAGGATTTGAAGGTCGCGGGTGCACTTTGGATTCAACCAAAATATTCTTGGTATATAGGATATCTACTAAACTAGTGTATCACTATTTTCTAAAGACATATACATTGTATATATGAAATTTTGTTGAATTTTATATGTGCCGGTGCCCCTCTTTGTTATTGCATAGGTTCTCCTCTGGTTATAATATATTCTGTTTTGCTCTAAATTGCTCTTTCCTTGTGCATTGTCTTGTATTCACCAATCATATTGGAATACTATTGTACATTTTTCCCTATAATATTTTTCAAAATGCATATATACCTCCAAAACTATACATTAGCATCAATTAATATTTTTTTTATAATTTTTGCATTTTTAAGAGTTTTAATTAATTTATCTCAATATTTTATTTATATAAATAATTACTAATATATTCTTTTGTTTGTGCTTGTGTGCATGTGTGGGCCAAGTTTGTTGGGATAACCAATATTTGGAGGACAATTCCAAGAATTGAATGGGAAGGGGGCACGTGATGGTGCAAAAATAAGGGAAAGGACAACTTTTTTCATTTATTTTGCTTTTCACCTTCTTTCTTTCCAATCTCTATTTCGTTTGTTGTTTTTCTTTCTTCTTTTCTTTATGAACCAAAAACTCTAATTATCCAAAATGGTAGAAGATATTAAAAGGAAAAATAAGATAGTTATATCAAATAAATTTAACTACTATCCGATCTTCACTAAAATCTACAATTTAAAAATTAAACTTAGTAAAAGTATCTTATTATTATTATTTTTTTAACTTTTCTTTTTATATTTGAAAATAAAATATCAAAACAATTTTTGTATCTTTTTCAAAACCAAAACTAGCTAGACAAAATACCAACAAGCTAAAATAAAGGAAAATATTTTTTTTAGTTTTTATTTAAAAATAAAATAAAGTAAAAAGATAAAAAAAATAGTAAAAATAGTACTATTAGACCTAAACTAAGTATTTAAACGCTAAAATATGTAAAATTTTGGGAAGGGTCAAAAATCACATGTCTACAGCTGCCCCTCATTGACTGAAAATACGAAGTATTTTCGGACAAAGAACGACAAGACAGATTTTTTGACACGACCCTTATTCAGAGAGACCAAAAACTAAGAGAAAGGAAGAGAATGTGACCGAGCCTCAGTATCCGAGCTGCCTACATATCCTTGGCTATAAAGGAATCAGGCCACGTGTAGTTCAGAAGTAGAAACAGTGATGGAGTATACCGAGGTGGAGAGTCGAGTGAAGTGTCGTCGAGGTTCCGGTCTGCGGTTCCTGCCATTACATCGAAAATAAAAGGAAAAATTACATCAAAAGCAAAACAAAAATACAAGATCCTATCTACTTCTTGTCTTGAATCTTCCTTGAATCTCTACTTGATCGCCAATATGAAACTAAAAAATGGGCCCTGTTCTTCAGGCTGACTCCTGATGCTTCTTGAACTTGCGAAATGAAAGTAACTCTTGTGAGCACCTAATTTTTGATAATATTTAAATTTTTTTATCACTTCTTCTATGTAAATATTTTAGGGGTTTTAACCTATAATTTTTAGCTTTGTTATACTTTTTATTATAGTGTAAAAATACAAAATTTAAAAGGTGAATTATTAATATTAATATTATTTTATTTTTATTTTTATTTTTAAAAATAAAAAATAAAAAATTCCGAAAAATTATTAATTTTTTAAATTTTCGGGAGTGATTTAAAAAATAAGAAAAAGGGAAGTACTGAATAAAACAAATAAAAGTAAAAGTAGGTGGAATTCTCTTTTAAAAAGTAAAAGAAAGTAGAAAATTAAAAAAATAAAAGTAAAGTTTTGTGGAAATTTTAAAAAAATAAAAACTAAAAGAAAGTTGGAACTAAAAAACAAATATAAAGGTATCTGAAAATTAAAAAAAATAAAGTAAAAGAAAGTAGCATTTTTAAAAGAAAAGCAAAAGAAAGTGGATTATTTTTTAAGAAAAGTTAAATAAAGTGGAATTCTCTTTTAAAAAGTAAAAAAAGTGAGATTTTAAATAAGATAAAAGTAATTAAAGTTAGAATTTAAAAAAATAAAAGTAAATAAAGGTGGGATTTCTTTTTATAAAAAAATAAAAGCAATTTGTAAGTGGGATTTCTTTTAATTAAAAAATAATAAAATAATAAAATATTTTTTTTTAAAAATCAGAAAAATCTCGAAAATTTTGCTATAAATAGGAAATAAAAAAAGAAGAGAGGAGAAGAAAAAGGGGCGGAAAGAGCGGTATACACACGATATACACTCTGGATACACTGGATATACAAGGGAAGAATTCATTTTGGAGAGAGTAAAAAAGATATAACCAAATTTTCTGAAATATTGAGAGCGGAAGAACACCAGAGAGAGTTAAAAGCTAGAAAGAGAAAACAAAGAGAGATTTTTGGACTATTTTTTTTCTCCATTTTTACTGATTTTCTCCGTGTTGCTGGGATTTCTGAATTGAGGTGTTGAAGCTACTGTGTTGGGCTTTCTGCTGTTGTATTTTGCTGTTTGCTGTTGCTGATTGCTTACCCCATTTTTCTGTTCTACATACCAGGTACATGTCTTGAAACTCGATGTATGAAAATATCAAGTTGAAAATGAATGAAGTGGAGGCCTATTGTTGATTTACTGCTTTCATTATACTGTAATAACCGTACTGATGGACTGTTAATTATAAGTTTGTGCATTTGAACCGTTAAGTGTGTGTTAGATATTTAGAAATGCATATGAGTTTAGTTGAGTATTCGTTGTAATAATTCCATGCTGGACTAACAGAATAGTTTCTATTAGTTTAGTTAATTTCCGGTTTTCCTAGATCTGTATAAATGGTATTTTCAAGCTGTGATTAATTAGGCTGTAGACTTTTAAAGTAGTGTGATACTTCTTCTGATAATGGGAGCTTTATATTTAGTAGTGATGATGTGAGTTAATCTATAATTCTGAGTTTGAGTGGTTGTGTGTGGGTTCGAAATCAGAAAGTTAAAAGTAGATATGAGATATGTAATTCGTAAGGTTAATTTAGGCAATCCATTTTCGTCCAGCATCCTTAATTCTCGAGTTTCAATTCTCATATGTGGTCATGTTAATGTTTAATCAAAGTTCATGAGTCAGTATTTTAATAAAAATGAGTCATAGTAGGGAATTTGAAATTTGAACTAGTATGCACCATGTTTGAAATTGTGATCATAGGCAGTTTACGTGGGTCATGAAATCTGAAATCAGTTGCTTTCCAACTCATGTTTAATGTTGCATTGAATTTATTTTACTGGCTAGTTAATTTTAGTAGTAGATTCATCAGATTTGTGTTCTTAATTAAATTGAAATTTCATTTAGTGTAAAAGACAGGGCTTAACAGGCTAGTCCCTAAATGTTTGGGCCTCAGGATAATTGATGCATGGCCCAGGCCAGTTTTGACCTCTTTCTCATTTAGGCCTGGGCCAAAGTCTGTTTTGGCCGATTTTATGGTGTATATCTGGTTTTAAATTCCCTCTCCTGGGCTCACATCGGAGCCCAATGGTCGGATGTTGGTGCAAAAACATTACTTAGTTTGCATCAGTCCAGTAACAAATTAATTAGGGCCTTTCTTTTATTTTAGAGACAAATTAAGTAGAAAACTATAGATTGCTCTAGGTTTGCACTTTAAAATAATAAAACGGGATGAGCCTCGCTAAACAAAATACATAAATTGCGGGACCCTCTATAATTGTATATATTAAAATACTTAGATTTCGGGACAGGCCGTTTAGCGAATTTCACGGCCTTCCCCAAAATAATAATGCGTTAGTCTCTTTAGGCGCGTATTTTAATAACATTACCTCCCTAAACTCGAGTGCGCATTTATGTGATCCAAATCCAAATCCCAATGATGTTAAATTATGTCCAAAAACTACGGGGGCATTTATGTGACGTGGTTCAAGACTTGTTTTAATGACGTTGCAATTTTATTTAAAAATGAATAAAAGCGGTTAAGGTTAAAATTTGCACATAGGTTCATAATTGTTAAAATCAGATAATTTAAGCCATATATAACAGTTGAGCGACCGTGCTAGAACCACGGAACTCAGGAATGCCTAACACCTTTTTCTGGGTTAACAGAATTCCTTACTCAGATTTCTGGTTCGCGGACTGTAATACAGAGTCAATCTTTTCCTTGATTCGGGATTCAACCGGTGACTTGGGACACCATAAATCTCCCAAATGGAGACTCTAAATCTTTAATAATAAATTCCGTTTTGATTGTCATTTAATTGGAAAAACTCCCTTATGCCCTTGCGGGTGTAGGTAAAAAGGAGGTGTGACAGCTCTGGCGACTCCGCTAGGGATGAGAACCCAGAATATCTGGTTCAGGGTTCAAGAATTCGAGCTTAGAATAATTGTTATAGTTGGCTTTATCCATTATCTGATTTTGTTACATAATTTGGACCTAATGTGCTAATTGATTGCTTTTACCGCTTTGATATTCCGTGAATTGTATATAAACTGTTGCAAAATCCTTCTCCTCTCCGAGTCTTCTAAATCATGAAGAAGTGTGCACTTCGTGTGACTTCTTTTCTGTTAGAGTCATATTCCAAATTTAGAATGAGGTTCGGACAAGCTGCAAAGCCGGTGAAGCTTCTGTATTCCTGGTACGCTGCCCCCCTCGGCTCGAGCTGTCCGCTCGGGTAAGCCAGGTCTAGAACAATAAACCCAGGTTTAAGCCTAGTATAACAATGCCTCATGCCGGATCCCTAGTAGGAACGTTTGATTGCATCATGCGCATTTTGACTTTGGATACTCAACACAGGGGTTGGGTCTGTCTAGGACAGGTGCACCCGAAACAAAAAGACCATCCTGATGCATCCTACTTGCTATTTGTGCATTTATTTGTTTCGCACCTGCATGCTGACCGGCTTATGAATATCGGAAAAAGTTGAGGAAAGAGAAATAGCAGTATGAGGGATAAAGAGAGTTAATCGCCTGATCTAAAAAAATGTCCAAATAGTGCCTAAACTCTGCCGAATTTTTGAGAAAAAAAAAGGAGGCTTGTTTTTCAAAAAAAAAAAAAAAAGGTTTTGTTTTAGCTGCCCGAACTATGCCT